CTCTCTGTAATAGACTATTATTCAAAATTGAATCTCAACGCTACGTTGTGTTAGGGAGGCGAAAAAGCGAAAAATAGTGTTGAAAACGAAATGATAACGAGTTTTATGGAAGATATGGATTACAATTTTTCAGAAATCTGCACACTATAAAAGAGGGAAATGTTAAGCATTTCATTGTTTTCGTTATAAGTCGTAATATTTTTGATTGGAAAGTTTGAAGATTGTGCAAGTGTGTCTTTTTAGCTATACCGTAAGTGGGCGGGGTTGCCGAATGGGCTAACGCGTTGTGCACCGCACCACCGTTGCCCGGCAACCGGATATATGATAAATGATACAAAAATAGTCATGAGTTCGTGTCCCGGTGCCAAGATGTCTTTTAAATCCCCGCTCACACCCTCTGACCCAGGAAAACCCCGTATAGCCTTAACGGCGAGAAAGGGGAGGACACAAAAAAAAAAAAAAGCTATACCGTTTCAAAACTAAAAATTGGACCTGTATATCAGCGATGGAAATGTTCATCATTTCATCCTCTTTGTAATTAGCTATTATTCGAAATCGTATTTTAACACGACGCCGTTTTAGAAAGGAAAAAAGATAAAAAAATAATTTCGAAATCAAATGATAACGAGCTTTAATGAAGAAGATATGGATTAAAATTATCTCAGAAACTAAAAATCCTGCATACTGTAAGCCAGGAAATTGTTCATCATTTCATCCTCTTTGTAATTAGCTATTATTCGAAATCGTATTTTAACACGACGCCGTTTTAGAAAGGAAAAAAGATAAAAAAATAATTTCGAAATCAAATGATAATGAGCTTTAATGAAGAAGATATGGATTAAAATTATCTCAGAAACTAAAAATCCTGCATACTGTAAGCCAGATAATTGTTCATCATTTCATCCTCTTTGTAATTAGCTATTATTCGAAATCGTATTTTAACACGACACCGTTTTAGAAAGGAAAAAAGATAAAAAAATAATTTCGAAATCAAATGATAATGAGCTTTAATGAAGAAGATATGGATTAAAATTATCTCAGAAACTAAAAATCCTGCATACTGTAAGCCAGAGAATTGTTCATCATTTCATCCTCTTTGTAATTAGCTATTATTCGAAATCGTATTTTAACACGACGCCGTTTTAGAAAGGAAAAAAGATAAAAAAATAATTTCGAAATCAAATGATAATGAGCTTTAATGAAGAAGATATGGATTAAAATTATCTCAGAAACTAAAAATCCTGCATACTGTAAGCCAGTTAATTGTTCATCATTTCATCCTCTTTGTAATTAGCTATTATTCGAAATCGTATTTTAACACGACGCCGTTTTAGAAAGGAAAAAAGATAAAAAAATAATTTCGAAATCAAATGATAATGAGCTTTAATGAAGAAGATATGGATTAAAATTATCTCAGAAACTAAAAATCCTGCATACTATAAGCCAGATAATTGTTCATCATTTCATCCTCTTTGTAATTAGCTATTATTCGAAATCGTATTTTAACACGACGCGGTTTTAGAAAGGAAAAAAGATAAAAAAATAATTTCGAAATCAAATGATAACGAGCTTTAATGAAGAAGATATGGATTAAAATTATCTCAGAAACTAAAAATCCTGCATACTGTAAGCCAGAGAATTGTTCAGCATTTCATCCTCTTTGTAATGAACAATCCTCTTTGATATATAATTTATATTTCATATTATTAATCTCACCTTATTGATGTTTTAACTTCTATCGTTTTGTCTAAAGCACAATTTTTTTTTTTTTTTTATCTTTCTGTAGCATTCCGATCAATAAGTCGAAAGTAATATTCATCATCGATTCTAATAGGGCTTTTTAACTTAACTTTTTCAATGTTATGAGGAGTGAGTCTATATCGCTTTAAGTAAATGTAGGTATTTATTTAGTTTCTGTCTCAGTTCTAGGTTTGAAGATTTGGAAAAAAAGTAGAGTAAAGTAATTTGAGTTGTCTATTAAGGGTATTTCGTATGGACCTCATGTCATCCTTCTATCAAAGGTAAGACCAAGATAGTGTACGGTGTCCGTCCGAGGATTTTTTTTGTTTTCGATATAAATTGGAGAGCAGTAAATGTAATGTGTTTCGATTTATCGTGTTTAGTCGAATTTTCCATGATATTTACCAGTCTTGTAATTTATCTAAATGATGTAATGTCAGTGAGGCTTGCGTTTTGTGAGAATTGCTGTGTCGTCAGCTCAGCATTTCATCCCCTTTATAATGATATCTGTAATTTATATTTCATATTATTAATCTCGCCATGTTGATGTTTTCACTTGTGTCGAGTGGTTTTTAACGCACACACCTCAGTTTTTTTATTTACAAAAATTCTCATAGATGGGGGACTGTAATATTCTGTACATCGAGTTCTTATTCCGATTTTTTAGAACAATCGATAGGATTCATATATCGATATTTATATCTCTGTCGTGAGAGAGGACTTTCTCCCGGAGGGCACTGAACCCCGAAGTAGGCCACGAGTACCAAGGTCAGCCACCTTCGTAATGGCCTTCGAAAAGCGAAAATAATATTATTTTATTGTTGTGGTGGGGGGAATTTATAATTATATAACTAATGATTTAAAATATAATTTGTCATGTGATGTAAATAGCCCTTGCGAATAATTCGCAATAATTTAATGCAACGTATTGTGAAGTGGAGGGTATGCAATTAATTCTAGCTTTCAAGTTAAAAATATTTAACAGAGGCGTATAGAGAAGGAAACGATTTTTTAACGACCAATGTAAGAAGGAAACTTTTGTTTGATTGAAAATTACAAAACTTGATTATATTAAAACGCTTTACAATGGTTTATTATTTCCAAACAATTATACATCTAAAGTAACATTACCTTCCTAGTTACAAAGAAAAATAAACAAAAAGTGATTCCAATTATTGGACTAAACTTTTTTTTTTTAATCATTAGTAATATGCTAAAAAAAAAATAGCATTACTTCAGTAACACATACAAAATTTAAAAACAAGGATATAACATTTGGAGTACAACATATAAAAAAAAAACCGGAGACCATATCTTTGCTCCTAATTGTAATAGAAACTGACGATGGAGCACATTATTTTTAAGGTAATTACAAATTTATTGTAACAACAAAATTCTGACATGTATTGTAACATACACTATATTTCAACTTAAAAAATTTTTTAGCATTGCATCCACTAGATCATTGGGATTGTGGTTCTGAAGATGGGAGTAAATATCCCGAAACGTAAACTTGTAAACATGTAACTTTGATAATACAAGAAATATATTCAATTGTTGCGTATTGGAAGTAATTATTGCCTAATAACTAAGAATATTATACAACTTCCCAGAAAAAAGAAGAATAAAACATAATGTTATGTCGAGTTTGCAGATTTATTTTGTTTTATAACTCGGAAACATTACGATTATATCAATGGAAGCAGCCTGGATTGTTATTTATAGAATAATTTAGTTATCTAAATGTTGTCATCAAAGGATGATAAAAAAATGGTGGCATGCCACACTGAATTAGTATATAGCTCTTTGAAAATTTATGAAATTTAGCTAAGCCTTAAACAAATTTCTTCTTGACAACCTTTTTGTCTAGAAAAAAAAAATTAAACAAGTCCGATATTGCGTATATTTACTTTAAATCTAATCTCAAGTGAGCACTCTACGATAAGTGCCTCCATTTGGACTCTATAAAATATCGGTTTATCGAAGGATAAATTCACTCTGGTTACTATAGAAAGAAAAGGCTGATCGCGTAGTAATATTACTTTGCAGTAAGTAGTTCATTTAGTAATTAAAATACACAGTGTGTCCAATGTGAATCGGATCGAATGTATTCTTTAGTCGAACGTATGAGCTAATCAAACTAGGTCGATGAAAAAGTTTTATTCCATGGTACAGATCCTTTTTTATCAAATTATTAACATCCACCTAAAACGTTTTAAATAGCTTCACCCCATTCTAACCTATAAAGATATTGGGCCGAATGCCACGACCTCTATCTCCAACATTTCAAAATAAAGAGGTTATATAACCCAAACGGCACAGTATTTATAAAAAACAAACAATATTGCTCAGTAAATTACCTTTTCTACGGTGGGTTTTAAAACTTTTTTCTTTTCTAAATATAACTTAAAAATTATATTCAAATTTTGTGTGAGAGTGTCATTTATGAAATTTACAACTGTGAAAATTGATATTCATTCACCAAATGTGATAAAGAGAAATACATGACTTGATAAGATTTGTAGAGAATCTACCCATTGGTAGCAGTCTAATAAAGTTTCCAAATTAGGAGATCACGAGACCGTCATCAGAGGTCGAGGAGGAAGCAACGTCAGAAACGAGAGGATTAGGATGGTTCTGAAGTTTGTTATGGAAGGATAGGTATCTGGATTGGGCCAAATTGGAAACTAACGGAACATACAGGTCATTATGAATTATTTTATTTGTTACAAAGTAAGGAACATTAAGGATTTTGGATTGTACAGATTGGATACGAGATTAATTCGTTGGTTTAGTGGAGTTCCAAAGCTCAATTCCGTAAGCTCAAATAGATCTTATTATGGTGATGTGTATGAATATTTTGTAATTAATTGGAAGGTTAGAGTGTTTGTGTAGCAAGCGCTGAAGTAGTGGGAAACGTCAAGAGGTTGCTTGTCGTTTCAGTCTGGTATGAGGATTCCAAGTTAAACGTTTGTCCAGGTGGAGTCCTAGGTATCGGGTTTGTTAAACAGGAATAAGTAGGTAAAGGTAATTTGATGATATTTATTGGAGTTTATTTTATTTGGAATTGAAGAGTCTGGGATGCAATTGTTGGGTCGTTATTAACAAATAGGACAACTATAAAATTCATTTTTTTGGTATTATTATTTATCTTCGTAAGTGAATGCAAGTTAATGAGTGATAGATTTTAGGTTTGGCATAGTTACATTTATTTAGAGTGGTAGTTTGTACTTTAAATAATGGTTTGATTTGTGTTTCAGAAAAGGCCTTCGCGACTAGGCGATCTAATGGATACGGAAGACAAGATGCAGACGGCTTTGCACCTCGCGGCGCAGTGCGGGGACACCGCGGTGGTGAGCGCGCTCATCGGCGCGGGGATCGAGGTCGACGTCAAGGGGAAGAGCCAGCGGACCGCGCTGCACTGGGCAGCGGTCATCGGGCACACCAAGGTGGTAGCGGCCCTCCTGGAGGCGGGGGCGGCGCTCGACGTCAAGGACGAGAACCACTGGACGGCCCTGCACTGGGCCGCGGGCGGAGGGCACGCCGCGCTGGCGGCCATGCTGCTCGAGGCCGGCGCGGCGGCCAACATAAAGGACGAGAGCGAGTGGACGCCCTTGCACTGCGCGGCAGCGAGAGGACGCACCGCGGTGGTGAGGGTTCTGCTGCGCGCGGGGGCCGAGGTCGACACGAAGGATCTGAGCCAGAACACTGCTTTGCACTGTGCGGCGGAGAGAGGACACGCCGAAGTGGTGGAAGCCCTCCTCGAAGCCGGGGCGCAGGCGGACCTGAGGGGCAAGGACCTCAACACTGCCCTGCACCGCGCCGCGCTGCGAGGCCACACGGCGGTGGTGGCCGCGCTGCTCGCCGGAGGCGCGGCGGTGGACGCGAAGACCGCGGAGCACTGCACGGCCCTGCACCTCGCGGCCCTCGAAGGCCACGGCGCGGCGGTGGCTGCGCTGCTGCACCGCGGCGCCGACCCGTTGGCCAAGACAGTCAGCGGCTACACTCCGCTCATCCTGGCCGCCTGGCACGGCCACCTGGGGGTGGCGCAGCAGCTCCTGGACGGCGGCGCCGAGCTGAACGCCAGGAACGCTGAGGGGATGACTGCCCTGGGCCGCGCCAAGAAGAGCAACCACAAAGCGGTAGCCGGCTATCTGATATCCAGGGGCGGGGTCCTGTGAGGTTGTTAGCCTGCGTGTCTTCTGTGACAGTCTGCGCGAGTGAGGAGAACTGCCCGTGGTTCGAGGAACTCTTTCATGTTTGGAAGACTGCGGTGGACCCAATCCACGCCAAGATTGGAGTACGTAGAGAAGGACCATCGGCAAGAAGGTCGCCGCATTGCGGAACCTCAGGATAAACCACGATAATACCTTGCAGAAGAAAAATAATGAGTTCGGTGAACTTGTAAAACTTGTCTAACATCCACTTCAGAAAACCCGTAATTTACTTTACCCGTATTGCCCATAAGTCAGGGGATGGAAAATAGGATAGTCTTTGAGGTCAAGCAGAACTCAAGTGTCAATTGTTATGTAATTGATTTTTTTTTGTATAAACAAAAATCTGTTCTGAACATTTATCTAACATTTGTAAAAGAACTTTGTTATTAGTGATAATAAAGGCTTTTTTGTTTTTTCGATTGTATTCCAATTTCATTCTTTTTAATAATACTATTTAACTGTTTATGAACAATAACAATCATATTTTTTTTTATATAATATAATGGTTTTGGGTTTTTATCTCGACAAAAAACTAACTTGGAGGACACACATTAGACAAAAACGTATGGAATTAAACAGACGATACGGTCTTTTATCTAGGTTACTTTAAAGACGTTCAAAACTTCAAAGTTTTACTAAAACCAATTTGGACTTATGGCATAGAACTGTGGGGTTCTGCTAAAACTTCTAATATTAAAAAAATCCAGTCTTTCCAATCGAACATTTTACGAAGAATGGTTGACGCACCATTTTATGTCGCAAACGGTAGATTACATAATGACTAGAACATCCTAACAACTTTAGACACTGCAAAATAAAACTACTATATCTTTCACCAAAGACTAACTTACAACACAAATCCTCTGACAGAAAACTCTAAAAGCACTAGAAACCCGTATAGAATTACCCCCCCCCCCCCACTTATATCTTAGAGCTCCTTACTTTACGCTCCTCTATCCATTCTCTCAACACCATATCTCAAACTATAGATTTATATATCCCCTCTCCTGGAACTCCTTACCCATCTCCATACGTCAAACCACGTCCATAAACTCCTTCAAACAGCTCCAATTCCACCATCTACTACAAATTCAATCTTCCGCAAGCTTGTGAGAATTTCTGGGTTATATAATTATGTAACCAGTAGTTAATTGATAGGAACAATTTTATTTTTATTTATTCACTCTCTCAGTATTTATTGTATTTTTCCTTAATATCTTTATATATATATATTTACATTTTCCACCATATCGGTATAAAAGATAGCCCGAAATGCCCTCTGTGTTTCTTGGATATGATGACAGGAGAACATCTTGATATATGCCCTGCATTACAGAACATAAGATGTTCGTTTAGCGAAATGGACAGCCCTTATGCTAAGAGAGCAAAATTATATTGGACTGCAAGAGCACACATGGCTGATTAAGCAGACGTAATTTTGGCGTTGAAAAAAAAAAATAAATAAAAAAAAAATTCTTATTATTTTGTATATATTTTTATGGTATCTACATGCCAGACTAATGAACATATTTTATGACGTACATATATACATATATTCTAAGAGGACTTCAGTCCCAGAATAAAATTATTTTTCATTTCATTTCATATGATCTACTTTTTGATACTTCCATTAATAGTTAGCAAAAATGTATTAACTAACCCGGAAAAAGTATTTGGATATCTTTAGTGAATCATAGTTAAATACTGCGCGTATTTACTTTAAGTGTTATCTAAAGAGCTGACTCAGCGATGACGTTTTTCGCTTCCAATATAAAATGTCACATTCCGTAGGATAAACTCAGTTCTGTTGCAACAGCGACTTGTAACGAAGTAATAACATTTTGCAGTGAGTACTTGATTAAGTAATCTCAAAATATATAATATGGTTGTACGAATCCATTTTTCAGACCTGAGAAATTACGCTACTAGTTCAAAAGGTTTTTGTAAAAATTGACTTTTTTTAAGTGAAAACTTCTTTAAGCGCGCGTTGCTCTTTTTTTTTTGTGGAAAGTGAATTATATTGAGCCGTTACATCTTCGATGTGTAACGCTTGTGTAAAGTCGGATGGAATCCACTAATTGAAGTTTTTTTGTATATGGATTAATATACCTCAAAAGCTAAAAATCAGACCCGCATACTGTAAGTGAGAGAATTGTTTGGCACTTCACTCTCTTTACAATGGGATATTATTCATAATTTATACTTCATAATATTAATCATAACTTCTTTTCACTTCTAACGTGTGGTCTAAAGCACAAACCGTAGTTTTTTACAGAAGAGCGTAAAAACATATTATTTCTTTATGATTTTCTATTATAATTTCATTTTTTATTTAGCTGTGCTATTTACCGTAGTAGTTTCAGATTACAAAATATCTCCTTTAGTGCAAAGGTAATAAACATGTAAAATTCTTACGTACGACCTTTTGCACTACCAATAGCGGTGCGGTATCTGTTAAATTACGTGTAAAACATTTGAATTACATAATCGTCTATCTACAGTGTGCCAAGCAAAACAACAATAGTAGCTTTACACTACACGATATTAATGAAAACATCAAAAAGGCGAGATTAATAATATGAAATGAAAATTATCAATAATAGTTCATTACAAAGAAGATGAAATGCTGAACATTTCTCTCGCTTACAGTATTCAGGTCAGATTTTCAGTATCTGAAATATTTTAATTCATATATTCAACTAATCTTATCATTTGGTTTTCGACACTATTTTTTTTTTTTCATTTTCGCCTCCCTAACACGGCGTCGTGTAAAGATACAATTTTAAATTATAACCTATTTCAGAATGGATGAAATGCGGAGCTTTCGTCACTAGTCGTATGCAGTTCGATTTTAGTGCCTGAGATATTTTAATCCATATAGGGAACCCTACACGGTCAATCGGAATTGCACTAATGACGTTCCGAATCGTCGTGTAAGGTAGTGAATGAAGTACTGATGGTGGTGCGCTGCGGATTTCCGGATATCCGGAAACCAAAGGTTCATTCACGAGAAGTGAAGGGGGGGGGCTGAGGTAAAAGTAGTGGGGGGACTAACCATACTGCTGGATAGCTTAGGTTACCTAGGCCTCACAACCATTATAAATTATTGATTTTCATTATATGTAAATAGTTAAATAATTTTTCATATCCCTTGTTTATATTTCATAAACTATCTTCAACTATTTCTTTTAAATAGTCAAGTGGGCAACAAATTTTTAAAAAAATGAGGAAACAATTTGCTTTAGGAAAATAAAAAACTTTAACGTTATGTATATTTATCAGTTCTTTTCCCATTTTCCTCAACAAATTTATTATTTTCGCAATACCCTTCCTTAATTTTTGTAAGTAGTAGAGTTATATTTTACTAACTTATGTCAAAACGATTTTCTATGAGACTAACCTAACTACTAGATAGGTTAGTTTACCTAGGTCTCGTTATTAAGTAAATAATTTCATAAAAGTAAATAGTTGTTTATATCCCTAGTCTATATTATTATTAACCATTTTCAACTATTTTTTCTTTAAATAGTCAAGTAGGCAATAAATTAGAGAGAAAAAAAAGTGGAAACTTCACATAAGTAATGATCAGCAATGATTGAACGTGTAAGGGTCTTCATTATCAAAGCGATCGCGGGCAATCTTGGAACTTCTTGTGACGTTCATTCAAGAATTACCGTGTAGGGTCTGCTTTAGTAAATACATTTCAATTAGTCGACTCTAGCCGACTTTACCCGAGCGTGAACACAAAATGAGCGAAAATCTGATTCCACTTTTTACAAAAATAGTGCAAAACATGCTTTCGTATAGTGCAAAGAAGTTTTTACTTCAAAAATACAAACTAAATTATTTTAGAAATAAGTAAGTTTTCTACTATTGAACTATAGGGATGAAACAAAATTTTCAGGATTTCCTTTTGTCACACAATGTTATCATTGAGTTAGCCGACGTTATGAACTAAACATGAGGATCATCATTAGGGCTGTGGCGAAGAAGAAAAAGAGAGTACTGTGGAGCAACTAGCATTTGTTGAGAAGGGTCAGCAAAATGTGGCATATTCTGCAGTAAAGGCTGAGTAATTTATAAAATAAATTTTGACTGAAATTCCTGACAATTTTGTTTAATCCTTGTAATTCAACAGTCGATTACTTACCTTTATCTAAAGTATTTAAATATTGGAATCTAGTCAAAACATTAGAAACATGAGTTCTCCTCTCTCAGACCCAGGGGTGCCCATCCCCCCTCCCCAAGACGCATAAACCTTCCCCCACTCCACCCATGATATTTTATTTCTCTCTTCTTCTTAAAAACATTGCAAACCAAAGTTGAAGTTATATATTCGTAGATTATATACAATTACACATACTGTGGTCTGTCCCATGATTCCACTTGTCTTTTGATTTGAATCTTTTCATTTTGAAAATTCACAACCCCGTCGGAAAGTGCCCCCTCATAAATTTTGACGTCGCAACTTGCTAAATGAAACCCTCTTCTGGGCACCCCTGCTCAGACCGTTGCACCTCTCTTCAAGATACCATTGTGCTCATACCTCACAGGGCAACAATAAGAAGTTGCTAAGGTTATCACTAATAAAGATTATGTTAGACATAGGCGGCCACAAACTTCACGTCACGTTGCTATAAACGTTGAATATTTATTCATCTATTATTATAAAGCTGGCAGTTAATATTTAAAATAAAATAAAATGCATTAATAATAAAAGCAATACCAATACCTTTCTTCGAATCTTGATTAAAGAAAAAAAAAATATATAAGTTCATTATTCTCAGAAGAATATAGTCGAGGGGTACAATTGAAAAATACTATATCATATAATAGTATATTTGATTACATTTCTTCTGACGTTTCGATTTATTTTGTAGGTGTTCTTCTGGGCGTTCCGTCAGTCACTGTTGAAGGCCCTATGGCGTCTGGCTGTCTGAGCTCATTAGTTTATTATATATATTTGCATTAAGTAATTAGCTAATTCGAAAAGAGCTATTGTTAACGGCTCAATTGTTATATATTCTTTTGTTATATAACAATAAATAAATGATTTGCTCTAGTAAACTTTTTGTTAATAATCAGTAAATGTGCTGGAAGTATAAGATATAAATGGCATGTGAAAGGAAAGTACTCAGCAGTAGAAAAAAAGAGAAAAAAGTATTTTGAGTTTATATAGTTGTTATATTTAATACCATGTTTGTGTTTCAGGAAAGGGCCACAATAACTTTGCAAATTGACTAATATGGACCATCTAGCATTACATCTAGCAGCAATGAGTGGAGACATTTCGGTCGTGACATCGCTGATTGCTGCTGGGACAGAGGTGAATAACAAATCGAAGGACCAGACAACTGCATTACATAAAGCAGCGTCAAGAGGACACAGCGCAGTTGTGAAGGCGCTGCTCGATGCCGGGGCGGTGGTAGACGCGAAAGCTGCTAACCAATCGACTCCCTTGCACTGGGCAGCTCTTGGAGGGCATTCTGCGGTAATGAGAGCGCTGCTGGACGCCGGAGCCGCGGTGGATATAAAAGATGAAAACAAGTGTACCGCTTTACATTGTGCCGCCGTGAGAGGGCACTCTGCGGCGGTCAGAGCTCTGCTTGATGGTGGAGCTGCAGTGGATATAAAAAATAAGGCCCAGTCCACTGCTCTACATCTTGCAGCAGAAGAAGGGCACGCCGCAGTAGTGAAAGTGCTGCTGGATGCCGGTGCCGCGGTGGACTCCAAAGATGAAACCCAGTCTACTGCTTTACATATGGCAGCGGCTAGAGCACACTCTGCAGTGCTGGAAGAACTCCTTGATGCTGGCGCCGCGCTGGACATAAAGGATAAGAACCAATCCACTGCCTTACATTGGGCAGCAGCTAGAGGACACGCTGGAGTGGTGAAGATGCTCCTTGATGCCGGAGCGGGGGTGGATACGAAAGGTCATGAGAAGCGTACTGCCTTACATGTTGCAGCGCAAGAGGGGCACGTTTCAGTGGTAAGAGCGCTGCTTGATGGGGGAGCGTCGGTAGATATAAAAGATAAAAACAAGTGTACTCCCTTACATCATGCAGCATTGAGTGGGCATACTGAAGTGTTGAAACTGTTGCTGGATGGAGGTGCGGCAGCAGATATGAAAAATAAATACCATCTGACTCCGTTATACTGTGGTGTGATGGGAGGGCACCCTTCCGTAGTGGCGGTACTGATTGATGCTGGTTGTAATGTTCAGCCTGAACTGAGTATGAATGGTAATGAGAAGGTTGAGAAGTGGACCCCCTTACATTTTGCAGCAGCGACAGGACACACTGCAATGGTAACAAAGCTGATTGATGCCGGAGCCACGGTGGACATAAAAGATAAGGAACAGTCCACAGCCTTACATCTTGCGGCAGACGGAGGACACGCCGCAGTGGTAAAAGCGCTGCTCAATGCCGGAGCGACTGTGGATATGAAAGATCAGTACCAGAACACTGCTTTACATTATGCAGCGGTGGGAGATAAAAATGGAGTGGGGACGATACTTAATGCCGAGACGTCCTCGGTTATGGGCATGCCTCTACTTGATGCAGACCTGGCCTCGAATATGTCTCTTCTTGGTCTCGGAACTCCCTCACATCAAATTAATGTGCGAGAATACACTGCAGTAGTGGAAGCGCTGCTTGATGCTGGGGCGTCGTTGGAAATGAAAGGTCGTGAACAGAGGACGGCTTTGCATTATGCAGCATTTGGAGGATTCAGTTCAGGAGCGGCGGTTCTGCTGGACCGCGGAGCAGACCCGGCGGCGAGGGCAGACAAGGGCTGCACTCCGCTAATGGAAGCGTCCCGATCAGGCGTCCTGGCAGTGGTGGAGCTGCTCCTCGACCGCGGGGCTCTAGTTAATGCTAGCAGCGATTTGGGATGGACTGCCTTACATTACGCCGCCGAGGGATGGCACCGGAGAATTGTAGTGATGCCGCAGCAGGTCGATGGCAGGGCGGCGGCGAACAAGAGAGGGCAGGGCCCACCCGCTGCGTTACATCCAGCAGTCCAGCTGAGGCAGTCGGCAGTAGCGTTAGTTCTGTTGGGCCGCGGAGCTGACCCGGCAGCGAAGGCAGTCAGCGGCTGGACACCGCTGATGGTGGCGGCTCGAACCGGCAATTCGGCCGTCGTGCGGCTGCTCGTCGAGCGCGGGGCTCAACTGAATGACAGGGATCGTTTTAGGCTGACTGCCTTAGGCCATGCCAAAAGGAACAACCGCAAAGATGTAGCGGCCTATCTGAGGTCCATGGGCGGGGTCGAATGACGTCACAGTCTGCGCGTCTTCAGGCTGTACGAGTGGATTACTGCAGAACTGTGATTTATTATTTTATAAACTTTTCTAAATATTTAATGTAGTATTCTATTTTTACTCTGTTTTTCTTAATATAGGTTAAGATATTTTGTTTTTCTTACAGAATTCAGTCATAGGTATTTATGCAGTATTTATAAATAACAAAATTTTAATGTTTCTTGATATAATATTTTCGTATTTATAAAAATAATTGAAGCAATCAGCAGATTTCTTTCTTTTAAACGTAAATTTTATTAAGGAATACTGATAAATAGTTATCGCGTTCAATGTGACAGAAAAGGAAGGACTAATAGTGGATCCCTCGATCAAATTTGAAACCAGCGATCAGGATCAGGACTTGGAGATAGTTCTGAGTTAAAGGACTATGGTCGGGAGGCAGGACAAGAATCCTCTTAAGGACAATTAGCTTCTTCCGGAGGATCGGTGTTGGAAGGGAGCAGATCCAGGACTCGGCAGAAACTATTATTTTATATTCGTTATTAATCCTCCATCACCACATATATTGATTGAGGCCTTTGTTTATTTGGTTCTATAAACCGCTCATCGTATGTCTGATGTGTATTCCAATAGTTCGGCCAAACTCTCTTATATTTTGTTTACACTATTATCTATTAATTGATGAGTATGCTCTGTTATATAGTAACTCAAAACGTTTGAGCAATGTATGTGTTGTATTTCTCTAATTTTTTCATTATGATAATATTTATTCTTGAGAAGATTTTAATTTTAGTTGTTTAGATATTATTATTATTATTGGAGGATATTGTACCAGAATTGAATTTATTTTTCTATTTGTAATGTATTTGCTCATAGATTTTTTTTAAAATTCTTACAGTAAATTTTGAAAAAAACAGAAATGGAACTAAATTTGTTGATGTTAAATTTTTGGTTCGGAGTAAAAAAATTGATTTAATCTACCACAGGAATACAAAGCTTCCCTAACATTTAAAATGATAGAATAAAAATACTAAAACAAAAATGGTGCATTGTTTGCAATCTATTAAAGGCTATTATAAAACTGATCTCCAGAAATAAATTTCAGCTACATAGATCATTAGTACATCTGAACAAATAAAGCTTATCTTTATTGAATTAAAACAGGCCTTTTTTTAGGAAAAAAACACTATGATTGTTTTTTTCTGATGGTTATTCTAAATAAATTTTTGTATTCTATGGTACAAATACCTCACTTTGGTTTCTGAGCATGTATCAAATGAAATATTACTGTAATATAAATACAATATTTACTACCACTGCAATGGATGATTTTTTTTTTCTTGATATTTTTTCGATTTCCTTATCTAGATTCGTAACTTTCAAATTTTAAAAATGTTGGTTATGGAAATATAATATTGCGTATATTTTCTTGGTATCTAATCTGTAGAGAGTATTTCAAGATAAGAGTTTCGATTATAAATCATCGTATTAATTAATAGGCGATAAATTAACTTCGATTGCTAAATGAATTATATATTAGAACGGCAGTAATTTTGCTTATCAATAAATAGATAATGAAGTATTTTTTTCTTATTGTGAGTGATATTATAATCGCCTTTGTTTAATAAGAAACGATAACGATAATAATATTTATTTCATGTAATTAATAATTGCTTAATAGTAAAGTAGAGTGAATTCAAGTAGTATTACTTTGACTTACCTATATATGAAATATATAGTAAGGAACAGTATTGCGATCGTGAAAATTTAAAATATAATACGGACATTGACAATATTATTAACTTATACATATGCTGTTTTCATATATGCTGTTGTTGGTATTATTTGATATTTAATTTATTTTTCTGTATAATTTATTTTTTTATTGTAGATAAAAAGTACATATATATATATTTATATATATATATATATATATATATATATATATATATATATATATATATATATTTAATTGTATAGATTACACCGATAGATAGAAAGAAATAGCCCAGAACAGAAAGAGATGCAGCAGGCTTATTAAGGCGGCAAAAGATCTTGATGGTCTGTAACGCCGAAAAATAACAATAGATATTTAATATATATATATATATATATATATATATATATATATATATATATACATTTATTTATTAAACAAATAAAAATACCCACAATGTAATTTAAACAAATATAGTATAATTTTTCTTTCATTTCCTCTTTGTCTGAAAATACTTATTTTTGCTAAGAAGAGGATGGTAAGTGAAAGCCGTGTGATGCCCGCAACAGATTTTTTTTCCTTAATACAAAATTTGGCTTAGTTTTTAAGAGCGTAAACTACACTGTTATTGCGATGTTTTAAATAAAATGATCAATTATACTTGACTATATTTATCATACTACTGCTAGACCATATATTCAATACATTTAGAAAACATGCTTATTTAATGATCCTAAAGGCAATATTAATTAAGTTGAGGTTTCTTATACAATAAATCTTCAATTTAGTCAAAAAAATTTATTCCGGAATATTCTGTTCCCTTTAGAAAGCATTTTTTTCTTCAAAAACAATAACAAACACCATATCCCATTAGGGATGGCCGACATTATCGAAATATCGATATTTTCCTTCCTATATTTCCTTTCGCTTTCCTGGAAAAACCATGTATCCGATATCTTCCGTCGTACTTTTTCCACCTTTAAATGTCTAAATTACTTCCGTCCCCTATTTTCCCTTGAAAACCGTAGGCTCCTAGTCTTCTTAATATTTCCCCAGTTTGACTATTGATATACGATATATGGGGGAGTCTCTGGTAATCTCGAGGCGAACTTTTTTTTTTCTTTTTTTTCATTCGACCATCCGACATCTTGCTGCCCAGTATAAGTTTGATTTTTTTATATAATCATTTACATATGTTTTATTCCTTAATATAACGCATATGTCCTATAGGCGAAACTTAAACGTTTGATGAATTGCTTTGTACGATTCATCTTCGGGATCCCGATGAATAATATTCAAGATTTGAATAAAATTCAAATATTCCATAATACCAGACTGAAACGATAAGAAACCGCTTGACATTTCCGATTACTTCAGTACTTACTAGACACTTAGTTAACTTCCAGCTATTTACAAAAGACTCATATATATATAACTATAATAAGGCCTATTTCGACTTACGGGATCGAGTTTTTGTGCTCTCTTAAACTATCAAATTCCTCTCGTTTACAATCCTTACAATCCAAAATCCTTCGTAAAATCCTCAATGCTCCCTACTTTGTCAAAAATAAAATCATCCATAACTACCTTAACCACATGTTTCCCATTTAGATCAATCCAGATATCTATCCTTCCATAATAAACTTTATAAACATCCCAATCCTATTGTTTCTAACCTCGCTTCCTCTTCAATTCCTGATAACCATCTGAGGCGTCTGAATAGAAGATGGCCTTAAGTAGACATATTATTAGAGTGCTACCATTGGGTAATTTCTTAACATGTGTTTCACGTCATTATATCCCTTGTATGAATTTACTGGATGTATTTTTTTTTATACAGTTATAAATATTATAATAAACAATAACAAATTTTTAAAAAAAAATCTTTTTAGGAGGGATATGACATAATTTCCCGAGAGCGCCGAATTTCTAAGGCCGGCATTGCTCTCAACAGTGTTACAGACACTGGAGCCAGTGGATATCGAAAGAGAGCGCTTCAGCCACATACCTAGTTCTGCCCTAAATACTGTTACAAAAGTTGAACTTTGTTTACATCCTTGGGTATTATTTAGATAATCCTTACCTGTATCATATTATTTTCTTTACATTTAAGGATAATAATCGCAATTATTTTGTATTTTTCTTTCGCTCAGTTAACATGGAGTGGGGTAACGAAAACCGAACAGCTGTGATCGCCTTGGTTGGAAGTTGGAAAATGTAGGTCAGAGATTTTGAACACTTTGAAACCTTTTGGTACCAGCCGTATGTTCGTGTACCGCACTATAAATAGATATAATATCTGTACGTCAACTCCTCGACCGGCCATCCCCGCACTGAGAGAACGATAAATGCAGTGAGAGTCTTGGCTACTCGAATTAGAAGAAATCCCATTCGAAAACAACAAATCATGTCTCGGGAAATGGGAATCTCTGTCAGATCAATGTCTCGCATAATAAAAAGTGACCTTAGGATGGCTGCATTTCGAAGAATGACAGGACAAAGGCTAACTAGATTCCAAAAAAAAAAAAAAAAATAGAGTGGATGGATGCAAATTGCTTACACCAATGGTCTTCATTGAAAGATTTTGTTTAGCGATGAGAAAATGTTTACAATTGAAGAAAAATTTAATCGCCAAAGTGATCGTGTGTACGCACACAGCTCTACAAAAAAGTCCAGGAAGTCATTGGAAGACTGGATAGAGGTCATCACCCTTCCTCAGTGATGGTTTGGTTGGGAGTTTGCTTTGTTGGCACCACAAAACTCCATTTTTGTTAAAAAGGAGTGAAAACAGCCGCTAAAAGCAACCAGGACGATATCCTCTAAATGATACTCTGTTGGCTGGAAGTCATTGGGTTTTCCAGCAGGATTTCGCTCCAGCTCACAAGGCCAGGTCAACTCAGCAGTGGCTGCAAAAGAACATTCCAGAGTTCATCTCTGCCTCGGATTGGCCCTCAGGAAGCCCTGATCTCAACCCACTAGATTATCGGCTTTGGTCCGAACTGGAGAGTATGGCATGCCACAGAGCTAAGTTGGAAAACCCCAAACAATCTCTGGTCTGAGCAGTTGAGCGCTTTCGCCAAAAAGCTGTGGAGTCAATTTGTATCATGCGGTTTTTTCTGCACTTCTAATATTTTGTTAGAACTTAATTTTCATTCGTAACATCACTAAGGTAAATAAATCATCTTAAATACTTGTGGACTAACTGACAACAGTCATCATCTTAATGTTGTAAGTAATACAATCTTTAACATGTATATTTCTTATATATTTCTTATAATTTTTAACAAATTCCTATCAAATAGTACAACTTTGCGCATGATACAAATTGACTAGCTGCGTGATACTATTGATGATCGACTATGGAGATTATATGCCTGTGTCAAGGCTAGGGGAATATTTTGAGTAATTTCTTTTTTTTTTTTTGTTTTAATCTCTACAGATAT